TCATTACTATTCAGTTTATTGTTTATTATTTAATTGATTTATATTATTATGTATTATTATGACAGAAGGATATTGCAGGGTTGTAGAAATTCAGTGTGTGTATATATATATATATATATAAAGTCTATAAATAAATAAATATAATCTGTCCATCAGATATGAGTGTTTCTGGGAATCTTTCTGTTTTTGACCCTTCTATATGCTTTTATATATTTATATTTTATATTTATGTATATATTTTTTCTTTTCATTTTCAGCCTGGAAGAGTGTATCTGTTCCATAACCTAATATTCAAAATGGTGATAATCACAGCCCAAATAGTTGAATGGAGAGAGCCAGTTCATATGCTATCCTGTCTCATGGGGATAGATGTTCTTTAAAGAGAAAATATGTATAATTCTATGCTGCAGTTAATTATTGGCTGCTGCTGAAAGAGCAAGACAGTAATTGGAGTCTATAGCGGCTATTCTGATCTACTAAGGCCGAGAACATTGTGCTGTTGCTAATCTGAGGGCACAGTCAGATTTGTCATTCTAATAAGTGAATGTGAAAGTGAATGGTTCCTGAACATATATGAATTTATTATGGTTATAAGTACTGTATATAGAACTATTCTCTCTATTCTTATGGTCAGGCTCTTGGTCATTTCTTTAATATATCTCCACTCTCATATATATATATATATATATATATATATATATAGTGTCAAGACACAGCCTCATTAAAGAGATATCTACAGGTTTGGTGCCTGCTCCCTTTTGCTCTAATGGAGGGAACAGAGGGTTAAAGAGCGAGTGAGGAAGAGAGAATGTGAAGGACACTCCACAGTGCAAAGCTCTCCGCCAAAGTAGACCTCTCATTAGATGACATGATTCTGAAGAGGCTTGTGATTCCCATGGGACGGCAAGTTTAAAAGTTAGATTTAAAGCACTCAAAGCTTCTTGACTTCAGTTTGAGTGGTCCTCATAATTAACATAGACAATGGTGGAGGAGCTCCTTCTGAATGGTTAAATGTGTGCATGAGAGGCTTCAAGTGTACAGAGTCAGCAAAATGCTGATATACAGCCAACAAAGATTATAAACCCATAAAAAACATAATATCTGAAAAGTTTATTTAAATTATTGTTAACAATTTACAATAAAGTTTCGTTAACATTTGTAAACTAATACATAAGTATTTCCACAATTTGCCCTCTTACTAATGCTTCATCCTTCACCTAGCATGAAGTTCTTTAAACATTCTGAATAAAAAAAAATGTCAAATGTTTATGGACAATAAACCAAATCAAATGAAAAGGAAGTACCTGTATAATTCCTATGATAACGGTGGACTGAATTTAAAAAATCTTCAAACGATGGCTTGTTCTTTGAAAGCCTCCTGGGTTGCTAAAATTGATCACAACAAACAATGGATCACGAGCCAGAGATCCTTCTCGACAATATATTTCCTTTTTACCAATTACAATCACAACAAACAATGGATCTTGAGCCAGAGATCCTTCTCGACAATATATTTCCTTTTTACCAATTACAATCAACACAAACTATATTTCAAAACAATTTAAAAGAGTTATCACCATTATTCAAGGATGCTCTGAAAGCTTGGTTGAATTTCCAGTACCACTCCAGATACAATTCAAGAGATTCAGACATAGTTGCTATGGATGAATTCAAACATTACGGTTGGAGACAAGCCATTCTTGTGGGAGGAATGTGTCAAAATGGGTTAATTTTTGTCATTTTTGTCATTCATTAACATTAACAATTTGAGAACAAAGTATAATTTACATGGTTTTGCTTGATATAAGCGATTGTTAGATTTAATCAGCGCGATTTACTGCAATGATTTTTTCCCTTTAGTTGGTCAGAACCAGAACAAATGTGTATGTTACTTGCTTGTTCAGATGACATTTTCTGGTTAAAATTCTTATGTTGGTCATACTTCCAAAAAGTAGAAACTGTGATTCTGTATGACAGTATGCACACCGCCGCGGGGACTGACAGACTCACACTCTCCTCAAACACTGGATTCATCCGTGCTTTGCCGTGTCGAGGCACAACTCACGTAAAGTTAATGACTGCAATTACAGATATCGAACAGAGATGGCGACAAAGAGGAAAAACTGGGGACTGCAGCTTTAATATCCTAATGATTTTAGCCATAAAAAAAAAACAATTTTTTTTTTTACCCATACAATGTATTGTTGGCCATTGCCACCAATATACCCGTCTGACTTGCGACTAGTTTTGTGATCCAGGGCCACATTTAAAAACATGCTATTATTTAGTGTGGCACAGCTGGCCTGCTAGTTAATGTCACATAAAAATCACATATAATGATAAAATCACTCCAAAATTGCACTTTTTGTTGTTTGTGTGTACCACGCGCCACTGAAATGAAGGACAAAATATTGTGCCTAAAGTTAGTCAGATGTTCAGAAGCCCTGAAGTCTAACAGATTAAGACTGATCTTCCAGATGGGCACTTCCAGGGCCAGCTGCCAGTCCATATTTACTTAATTATCCAGAATATATCTCTGCCCTGTCCCAAAGTCTATAATTTTAAGGCATCATTGGTAAGCATCTTACTTATGCTGCTTTATAAGATAGGTAAAGCCAAATTGGAAGGCAACTTCACAAATATAACTCATGCAGAATGCAGTTCAAAAATGCATTGCCACAAGCTGTGTGGAAAAACAATAAACTCAAGATGGTGGACAAGGTGAGAGAAGACTGATTATAAATAGATTGAAACTGATTAAACTAAATGGAATACTGATCAGAGTACTGCATTAATGTAGCAACGTGCTAGCATCAAACTCTGTCCCATGTGGAGCGATGACAGGAAGATCATTTATTCTAGAGAGGAGAGTGGAGTTTTAGAAGAGAAACTTTGCTTTGCCAACGGCAGTTCACAATTCAGCTAAACTCCAGATAAGAAATTACCCAGGAGCCTCAGCTTGAAGTGAATAGATACACTAAGGGAACGGTTTGAATAATAACTTGAATTTATGCAAAATATGTTGAAGTCTTTGTTTGGCCTTCAGCGAAGACATGAGGACAAGTCTTCTGCACAAAACCCTATGGTCAGCTTCAGCTCCCCTCCCACCAAATGACCTATATATCCCAATCTTCAAGTTTAAGGAACTGGATGAAATATTCTGAATGATATCAGTCCACAATCTGACTTGTGATGCAGCTTGAAATGAAACCACACCATGTTCATTAATCTGGCCAGGGAACTGTCTGAGCCTGGCTTCTCCCAAGTTTTTCTCCATTTCTGTCACATGATGGATTTTGGGTTCCTTGCCATTGTTACCTTTTGGCTTGCTTAGTTGAGGACACTTAATATTCAGCAATATCGTTGGTCATACTACACTAACGTTATTGGATGAGATCTACACTGACCTGGATAATGACATCACTGTTTTCTCCAGAGCTGCTTTATAGATTGATTGAACATTCCAAAATGTATGAACTTTTTATTGAATCATTATTTTCCTGTTTATCCCAATAGAGCTGCTTTAAAACGATCAGTTTTGTATAAAGAGCTATATAAATAAAGGTGACGACTTTAATATTTCTTTTGTCGTGAAGTTGAGAATGTGGCATGCAGAAGGGAATTACACAGGACAAGACATTTGCTCTAAAGCATTTATCCTTTTCTTTTTATATCCAGGGAATTTAGTAATGATGGAATATTTTGGGCTTTATTTGCGCCAATAAGCTTAAATAGCTGGGACAGGTCAAACTTTAATGAGCCCTCTCACATAAATGTTGGCCTGAACCAAATTTTCTTCAGCCTGCTGTGGACTATAAAAGGAAAGGTTTGTGCCTTAGGATGTTGTGTCTTAAGTGATAAATGATTCACTGAAGCCAGCCCTCGGTCTGTGTCAGGTATAAACTGTTAATGACTAAGTCCTTTAGGCCTTAAGTCCTATATAGTCCTAATATCTCTATATATGGAAATCTATGGAAATCCCACTGTAATGGGCAACACATCTGAAGTAGTTTGGGTATTAAGGCCATTGCATACTGAGTCCTAAATTTTCGTATGCGTTTTTTCGTGTTCGTCAGCCTAAAAATTCGTCACGCACAGAAACCTTGCACACTGAATGCTTGGTAGCAACCTCAAGTACTGTCGAAAGTAACTGCCCTATGAGTCCCCTTTTACAGCAAACTGCCACAGCAGTGTCGCCAAAAATTGTCCTGTTCTTCCTCAATTGAAGGTGAACTAGCATAACCCTAGAAACCATGTACTTAAACTCACAATTTCACCTTAGATTTTTATTAATTTCATCAAGTACCCTGCCTTACAATTTCAATGAAAATATTACAGTTGTTTCCCTCTTTCTTATATAAGAGAAATCCAATTTTCCCTGATCTCTGCAATCTCTTCAGAGCAACATACAGTTTGTGAATATAAAACAGTCATTTCCTTTCCAACGCATTCTCATCTAAGGGCGTCACCTAACTGACACTTTTGACCATGCGTCTAAATCCGACGCACTTGGCAACCTTTTGCATCAGTTAGATGACGCGGGTAGGTTTAGGGATTTCAACACTGAGGTCATTGTGTCTTCAAAAAGGGGGAGGTCTGTTTTACTTCTCTGTTCTGGGATCAAATGACCTTTGGCGTTCTCTTGGTGGGCACCTTTCCTGTGGCATCTCTGAACCAATCAATCTCTTCCAAACTATCTAATGGCCCATCTCTTTAATGCTTACGGGGTCATTAAAATTCTTACTGGGGTTTCCTTGGCCAGAGTTGACTGGTTAGAGTCGAAAATCTTTATGGTTGGAATGTTGATGTGAGACCTGGAGTGTTGAATTCTGTTTGAATGAATCACATGGAAGATTCAGTTGTATTTGGTGCGCCTTCATATGCTAAAAAGACTTCAAATCCATAGGTCTACCTGCATGCATCAGACCTGAATCAAAGCACTGTCTTCCAACCTGTTTTACCAAGAAAAGAACTGATTTACTTATCTGTGTTCTCTCTAGTTGGTGCTTCCAGAGTACTCTATCCATGGACTCTTCTGTATCATGTTCCTGTGTGCTCAGGAGTGGCTTACCGTAGGCCTGAATATCCCTCTGCTCTTCTACAACACATGGAGGTGAGCACCTAAAGAAGAATTTTCACACTTCTAAGAATTCTGAGACTACTAAGAATTTCCATGCCAAATCATTATTATGTAGAATAAATAAATACATTAATTCCAGTATTGGAATTATCCATATTTCAGATCAATTCCATTCATAATTATCCTACATTTAAGCTCCTTGCCACTAAATATTCAGTGTGTTCCTAATCTTGTCACAGCGCATTAGTCTTTTCATTTTTTGGATGAATAATAGCAGACTGAATGTTTCACCGTGGAACAACTGAGGAATTCATAACTTGGATAAAATGAGTTTCAGTCTCTTTGGAGCTCTAAATCTTTCTTCAGGGTTTGTTACTGAATGTTCAGAGCTGTTGTCAATTACTGCCACCGTCCCCAGAATATGAGAAATCATTGTTTTATTATTATTATTTGCAGAATGATGAATGGTGAAACATTAAACTTAGTACAATAGTAATGGTGATTATTTTTATGAAGTTAGCTGGTCGAATTCACTAATTCAATAATTTTCAATAAAATCGATCTACCTTTTTCACAGATTCAGTGATGCTGCTTTTCAGAGCACTGTCAGTGTCTTCTTCCCTGTGTTTTGCTCCAATTCCTCCACGTATTACTTCCTAATGCTCTTAAAACCTCCACACCTTGTTTTTGATTTTCATAATATAATTATTACACTAGGGGAGGCGTTTTTACTCGTCTTACAATTAAAGACTATATTTAAGTCATCTATCTCCAAGAACTGCGTAGATTGACAGAAATACATAGAATTAAGAGACTTAGACAAGACAAACTTTGCATTAGATGAAAAATTCATTCAAAATAAAAAGCGAAAAACAAAACAAAGGTGCACATAATGTTTCAAGAAGCACTACCCGCCTCGTGTTTTTCCCCATTTTCGGCAGGTACTTCCACAGCCCCACAGACACTAAGGAGCTTCTCTACGATCCAGCATCTGTCATGAATGGAGACACGCTCAAATTCTGCCAAAAAGAAGCCTGGTGCAAGATGTCCTTCTTTGTCCTCTCGTTCTTCTACTATCTCTATTGGTGAGCATCCAGAAGTTATCTCAACCAAACTTTATCGTCTGCTAATTCTGTGCAACATCTTCACTGATGCTTAAATTTTACAGATAAATATACTTTTGTTGTGTTTCTTTGCTATAAGCTCATCTACAGTATAAGCCTATAGCATAGCAGAGGTGTATACTACTAACATATACAAGCATTTGAACTGACAAGGACGCCCAGCAACATGCCTTTGGGTAGAATTCCTGATTCCTTTTTCATCCACACTATATCACGTCACATTAAATGTTAAAAATACACATAAAAACGCACATATTCTATAAAGGTTCACCCTTCGGGCGAACAGGCCTTATGACCTTTTGTCAGATCAAAGGCAGTTGTTGTGTATCAGCCACATTCTGCATTACTCATTACTATTTGCTTCTAGAATTGAAATTCCAAATACAGCAGTTTTAACCCCTTTTTTCTCAAGCATCTATTAATATGCACTCACTCTTTTACAAGTGATGGTAGTGAGTTGTTGCTTCTCTTCAAAACAGTCATGCCATCTTGCAGACTGATCTCATGAAATGGCGAATGTATGACACGCTAATTCGTATTTCCATTTTTAGCGGGCTATCAACACGCATAATCGCTTTTCAGCACGTCTATGAACGCCGTTGACTTAACGTTACATTATATATGACCTACCCCAACCCCGTCCTTAAACCTACCTGTCATTGGGGTTAATAGCATTTATGAGCCTTCCCCTGCCATCCTAGGAAAAAAAATAATCGTTCGGAATCACTCACGTAGACATACACTAAATGCTCTAAATTATCTTATCTATAAGCTCTAAATGCATATAGATAACACGCCACTTGACTTGAAAGTGGCGTGTATGCTTATGCAAAAGTCATGATGTCATGATATCTTGTGAATCTTGACCCTTCCTCTAACTGCTGGATTTTTATTGCTAAAGGAATGTATTTACAGTCTCCTTGTCTTACTGTAGTAACAACAATACATTTAGCATTACATCTAACTAACCCCAAACAAAACCCCTTTCCAAATCCTAACCCTGTAATAAGTACATGCTGTTAAAATAAAATGTTACCCAATGTTCAGAACAAGGTAAACTAAATCAACAGCATTTGTTGCATAATTACCCCAGAAAATAATTTCTAATTCTTGAAAGTTGGAAGGAAAGGAAGTAAAATGGGACTGACAATAAATGTTAAAACATGCAATGTTTTAGCCACAAGTTTAGTATAACCACTATAATATATGTGTAAGCATGACACTAATGTGATAGAATCACTTGCCAGCCTTATCTGTAAACAGAAATAATCTTTGTTGCAAATATAACTAAAAGTCTCTCCAAAATAATGATTTACACAATGTTACTATCAAATTATACAGGTTTTTATGAAAGAATTTGATAGTGTTTGAAATTTTAATTTTAATTATTTCCTGATTTTTTTTTAACCTGATCTAAACTTCACAAACAATCACATCGACTTAAAAGAAACAAAACGAATCTTATAAATTCTTATAATGTCTGATTTGATGAATATTGTCTATTTATCTGCCCTGCCTAGTTTAACCCCTGTGGCTTGAACGTCAAACTTAATCTGTACTATAACTTTGTAATGTTATCAATGTTGTGCTCCCTCTTACGAATCAATCTTACAAATCAATTGCAAATCCATTTTCAGCGCACCAGGCCATCACCCAACCAATTACAATAGTAGGTTTTTTCTAAACACCATTCAAACCTAATGACTCAAGAAAGGAGCTTTCCACTTTGATAGAAGTGAAAGAGAGATTTGGGCAAATATCACACCAGTTCTCATGTTTAAGCTCCACAAAGATTACAAAGGCATGAGGAACATTGTTCGCCTCCGGCTCCATCAGGATCATCTACTCATAGCTGAAATACATTTTTCGTTGATCTTCCACTTTCAACACTAACACTAAAAAAGATGTTCCCAGGACGTAAATAAGACACAGCTTCAATATCACAGCAGCTCTCCATTTAAAACATCTTTATGTTTGGTTTGAGACCAGCCTTGAGCTGTGTGCACTGAATATAATCATGACACTCGATATAATCATGACACTCAACATTCAAAAAAAAATTTCTGATTAGGTAAAACATTCTGCATAAACGGATGATATAATGATATAATTTCAAAGAGCATAGATCTGCTTTCATTTTTTTTTTTTTTTTTTAAAGATTAGGAATATAAAAGGAACCCATGCCTTACTTTTCCAACCCCCACACATTGAAGATAATAAGACACAGCGAGCCAAGAACTGCTTATGCAGTTTTTATCAGGGCAACCCCTTATTATGTATTAATGCCTGTGGACAGCATTCTGGCATGACATCAATGGCCCCTAGTGTGAAGTCAGCACAGAAATTCAACATACATCCACATATGGCAGTGCATTCTAAATAAATGCAATCCATATCATGACCTGCCCGGAGTGATCCTCAAGCTGGTGAAGCTGTCTTTTTTTATAGCATCAACTGCTTTCAAGCCTCTCGCCTTATATTTCCACAAACTGAGAATGAATGCTGTGGTTTCAGATGGATAATTTGGGGACAAACTGTGTCTTCGTGTTTGTTGTTAGCTAGGAAGAAATGAACTAATTAAAGTCATTCCCTGGCAGAATGATGGAACCCATGGGCACAAGCTCATTTTGCAGAAGCGAAAAGTAGTGTGCATAAAGGGAGAATTCCCAATTTCTCAAAATGCATATGGAAGCTGGGAGTGATGTTTGGAATGGAGTCTGTCTGTCTGTCTGTCTGTCTGTCTAATCTGTTTAAAGGACAAGTTCGTTATTTTACAATTAAAGCCCTGTTTTAAGATCGTTTCTGATGAAATAGAATGGTTAAGATAGTTTTTTAGAAAACTCACCGAGTGGTCTGGGGTGTTCACTGATATGCTCACACAAAAGTCGCTGCAAAAGATGCTTTCCAACAAGTTTCAGCGTAGTTTTTGTACAACTTCATTGACTTGTATTGTATGTTCTGTGATGTACGGTTACTCCGCCACCAGAAATGGAAATGGGGTTGTTTGTATTCTTTCTGTAGTCTTATGCAGTCGCGGTATAGTAGGCTACACTATACAAGTGGTTTGCTTGCAATTGGCAAAGGTGCATTATCGCCACCAACTGGGCTGGAGTGTCTATTATTCAAGCTCTCAATGGAAGAATGTACGGTTGTGAGGCGTTCGGAAAAATAGGTCTACAGTTTTACAATGAATGGTAAAACACCTGTTGAAAAAAAAGCGTCTTTTGCGGCGATTTTTGTGTGAGAATATCAGTGTAAACCCCAGACCACTGGGTGAGTTTCACATCTTTGCAAACTAAAGTTTTATGTGTTTTATGAGGGTTGTTCCTATGCACCTATGCTACCATTGTAGAGGTGTGGGGGTGCTACCACAGAATCCGAAAATTCTCGGGACAGCAGCATCTGTCTAAAAAACAGAATTCAAATTCTACCCATTAGTTTAGTATTTTTAGAATACATTTTTTGCACTCAATGTCAGTAATGGCTTTTTGTTTTGTCTTCCAGTATGATATACTCCTTGGTGACCTCATAACAGAGTTCTCAACACTGAAGTCAAGTCAAGTCCAGTTTTCAGAAAGCTCTAAACTACATTTAAATGAAAGAAGAGCTCGACCGCTAGACACAAGTTCAACACTGCAGTGTCTGAACCTACAGAGAAGACTTGACCCCATCAGAAGAACCCTGTGTTGTTTACAGATCTGACTTAACGCCCAAGATGTATCATGGACCTGGTGTGAGGCACTTTTCACAAGCTCACAGTAACATTTGCAAAGATTGTCTCAGGCATAGCACAACATGTCCTTTATCACTTTGAGAAGCAAAACCTGCCAACCTTTACACTCACTATATGTAGCTTAAAATTAATGTCGGATTCAAACAAATGAAAGGAAACGATGGCTAACTTGATCAGCGAATGTTTCATTTTTACCAGTCACACACTAGGCCACTGAGTTTGATTACATGTGTGAGAAGCTTTTTGTGGTATATTTTATGTGTATTTGTGCACTCCTAACATAAGCGTTTTTAATATGAAATATGTATCTGTTGCATTACTCGTGTACATAGAGAACTTTGTGTAATGCTTTTATGTGCTGGTGTCAGTTGGTTGAGATGTTTTTGGACTTTATATTTACAAAATGCTAATATCGAGGCTTTATTATAGAAAACAAAAGCCACTTTTCCACAATTTTGCACAAAGATGTTATGAGTTTGCACAATAGATACAGTTATTGGTTGTGGTGGAAAAACAAGTCATATTTATATACCCAGTACAAGTCTTCCAATATATTACAGTGTATGAAACCATCATAGATTTACATTCTAGGGAAGAAATAAAAAACACAGCTTTCCTAACACTGAGCTACAAATTTCACTTTCTCATTTTCTATCTATCTATCTATCTATCTATCTATCTATCTATCTATCTATCTATCTATCTATCTATCTATCTATCTATCTATCTATCTATCTATCTATCTATCTATCTATCTATCTATCTATCTATCTATCTATCTATCTATCTATCTATCTATCTATCTATCTATCCTATCCTATCCTATCCTATCCTATCCTATCTAGAGTTTCTTACTTCTTTCTGTTGATTATACTGTACAGATTTTAAACTGACAGTCTTGTTGGATCAGTCAGGCTAACTGTCCGGAGTAACCACATGATGCATATGAGCATAAACCCCTCAAGACTACTTGATGCTTTGGTTGAGCACACTATATTTAAGGCAGAGTACTGAAAATAGCAGTAGAGATACTACATCATTTTCATTGATATGTAGGGGATAATAATACCGGTCCCCAGCAGAACTATACTCTGCTACTGTCATGTAGCCTGCTTTTGTATGCCTTATGTAGTTACACATATGATGACCAAACATTTTCTATATCCTTACTGTGGACATGTTCACCCATCCAAATATCATTTAAGAAATTTGTATATGAAATAAAACAGACTATTTTAAAACTCTTAAAGGTCATTTCTTATGCATGCATGCCATGCAGCACTCGTAATTCCACTAAGAGAGTTGGAGGCATTGTTTTTTTCATCAGTCATGCGGTTCATGATCCATATGTGGTTATTTCACTCAATTACCCACAAAGCATTGGAATCCTCACCCTGGAGTGACTCTCAGAAAAACATCCACCTCGGACTGTTGCGTGCCCCCATCTCTCAGATGTCTCCGCCTCAGGGAACGTTGCCTCCCGCTCATGAGTCGACTATTATATGCGTTTTCTGGCCCCAAGCCCTGTGTGGCAGTGACTGGCTGACAGATCGGTGACAGGCTGTCCTCCTGCTCCACCTGCTATCCGTCCAAATCACTGCCACATGCTCCGTAATTACAGTTTGTAAAGGATGCAGCTCCATTTGCCAACGATCTAACACTTTGCCACTTATAGCCGTGAAATGAACGTCATCAGATGTCTGCAGGTCCTGGCACTCGCAGAGCTTTCTGCCACCATTTCTGACCCTGATTAGTATGCTGCGGCACAAGATAAGTGATGAATTTTGGCTCTGGCCTAAAAGGGACTGATGGGACATTAAAATCTGAGATGCATAACTCAATAAACTACAGTAAAAAGTATTTTAGGGTTGATAAATAATAATCGTTCTCTTGAAATAACACCTTATCTTTGCTCTGAAGAGTTCCATGTGTTGCACTCTCAGAAAATATCCTTGCCCTCAAGCGAAGAGCTTTGCACATTATGTGTTTTGACAAGTGTGGTTGTCCCCCACACAGTGCTGGATGGGCAACCTGTCAGCTTGCCAGGTTTCTAAGATGCCCAACCTGTCAGTACGGATTACCCATGAGGCCAGCTGAGCTGGATTTTACTTGCCTTGTCTTTCTAGGATTGGATGGCTTTTTCACCTTGCTTCCTGGCCGCACAAACAAACGCACACATGTCTGTGTAGTCTAGCTTATGTTCGCATTTTTCAAAACTTTCTACAGTCTTCAATTGCTGGCACATCTAGACAGTGTTCTGGCAACAGATCATTAATAGTTACCCAAGAGAAGAAGTTTTTTTTTTTAATTTGGCAGCTGTTCACAAAGATTTTGTTCTTGACTTATTCTAATCCTCTTAGGTATACCAAATAATCATTAAAGAGCCAAATAAAGGAAAAGTAAATCTTATTATCTGTTGTTCTAGATAACAATAGCAAGTAAAATCACTAAAGCTTCATAGTCTGGTTTCTGTTTTCATCTTTCCAAGCCTCATTTCTTTGTGGTACCTTACCTTCAGCAAGCAAGCTTTTTCGTTTTTCTATTCTAAGATTAGGCCGACCAACTGTAAAAAAAAAAAAAATCCTATAAAACTCATTTATAGTGTGTAGGAGGAATATTAGGCTTTTATATCGTAAATTGTACTGATTGCATCGACAATACTAATTGTTAAAAAAAGAGAGTCTGCAATTGTGGATGCCTTTAGTCATTAAAGTGAGTCATTTTATCATTCATTTAACCGATTCATTCAAAATTTGTTGATTCATTCAGGAACGAAACAAAAGTTTTTTTGCTGGTGGTAGAAGAAATTAACTGGTAATATTGTTTAATAATTACTTTTTGCCAAAACTATACACAGATTTGTTATTTAAAAAAGATTCTGCTGTCAACTAGCATTTAAACACTTTTTGGTTTTAAGTGAAACTTTCTCTGTGTGTTTTTTTTTCTTGCCTTATTATTGGCTATCTTGTCATATCAAATAACAGTGCAAACTGTCAAAAACCTTCAACTACGGCCGTCTGTGAATCATGGAGTTCTTAAAGTCAGATGAGCACTATTTGAGAGGCAAGAAAATAAAAGCTGATCCTTGCAAAATAGAGCAAACTCTGATCCTTTTTAGTTAGATAACAACACCGATGCCTGTATATGATGCATAAATTGGTCCACTGGGTAAACTAAAAAATGATGCTGAGAATTCTGAGCAGACATCAGACGATGTTGTCCTCTACAATCATTCCCCAACTCTCTAGTGTCTGATCCTAAAATCCATTTCAAAACACACCAGTGGGGATGTAGAACTGCGATAACAACACCATCAGGTAGATAGCGCAGTGTTGGCCTCTCTATTGTTTGCACAGAACATTTATTTCCTCCCATCAGCTAAAAAATATGCCAAGGTCTCTACAATCTAACCCATTTGGCACAATACAATGGGGCTTCCTTCTTTATATCTGAAAATCTGACAGAACCTAAACAACTCTCTCTGACAAACAATCTGCCCTTTGTGTAAATGTCCTTTGGCTGATAGTTTGGTAAAGATAGACACATATACACTTATCAATATGCAATATATATATATATATATACACATGGAGTATGCCTCTGTATGCAGACCGTTTTGGCTCTGCTTTACTACTTATCAACTATTCAAGGGTGAACAAGGTTGATCCAGTCATGGGTAATTCCATTGGGTTGAGAAAGAGTCAGTCATTAAATGCAAGTGAGTTCATGAGGCGATTCATTGACCGGAAAAAAAAAAAAAAAGGACTTTTAACTAATGAGGATGTGCATATTATAATAGCAGAGAACCTAGATTCAGTCATAAAAGCAAATTTCCACAGAAATAAGCCTGTGAGTAATGTATATGATATTATTCCTTTTATAGCAACAGTACACATGCATATCTACAGATTTAGATGATTTCTAGTACTCTCTGCTCCATTTACAAGATTGTTTAAATGAGTTAAAAGAAAACACCCAGATTCCGTCTGGACCTTCTAATGACACGTGTGTCCTGATAAATGAGAGGTTCAGGCAAAATGAATCTGTCATGAAGTCTCAACACATTCCTCAGCTATTAATAACAATTAGCTGTGTTAACAGACGCGCTCCCCTATAACGAGAATGGCTGTTTGCATTAATCTTGGGCTCTTGGCTCGAGCTTGTGAGTGGATATGCCTCAGTGAATCTGGTGGAGGACAGCGCTAATGCTTGAGTCTCCATGAGTCTGTTAATTACAGTCAATTCGTGCTTCCTCTTTACTCTGTCTTAACCTTCAGCCTCGTCCTTTGACTGCCTCGGTCATATCGCTCATACCTGCACAGCATGTGGGAGGGCGATGGAGAGGAAACCACTTAAGCAGACTGTACCGATGTCCTTTACTGTAGGAAACAGCATGCTTCCTTTAATTCATGCTGAACTGGAAATGTGTATTGAATTTACTGTAACAGCTTTGTTCTGATGGATTCGATTTTCACTAAAGGACGGCATAAGAGAGTGTGTTCTGTGTTTTGGTTGTGCCCTTCAATGAATCTGCCAGTCTGATCTATTGGCTGCGATACTCATGGAATGCTGCCGCTCACACCTGTGCATAGATTATAAAAGATTTTTGTGCCTTCTGTCATGCTATAAACAAGCATGTGAAAGCAAAATATGGCAATATATGAAGAGTTCAGATGCAAAAGCCTCTAAGTGCCATTTGAAATTTTCTTCTAGAATGATAATTTTTATCAAGCTTGTATTATTAAGTTCAGTGATTTCACTTAAATGGCAATGATAATTACCTATTAATTGTTATTTAAGTGAATTTACTGAACTTAAATATACAAGTTTGATAAAAATCATCATTAAAGAAGAAAATTTCAAATGGCATTTAGAGGTTTTTGCATCTGAACTCTTCATATATATATATATATATATATATATACATATATATATATATATATATATATATATACACACAAAAATATTTCTATATTATATATATATACTTTCTATTCATCAAAGAATCCTGAAAAAAATGTATCAAATTTTAAACTCATTTAAAATTTAAATGTGCATCAACAGTGCACAGTGGACAGGGCAGAATTTTGTGTGACTTTTGCAACAGAAATTCTGTTGGCTCAGACCAGACGGGATAGCCTTCATTGCCCTTGTGCATCGATGAGCCTTGGGTGCCCAGCACCCTGTCACCAGTTTGTGATTTGTCCCTCCTCAGGCCACTGTTGGTAAATTCTCACCACTGCTGACCAGGAGCAACCCACAAGCCTTACCGTTTTAGAGCTATTCTGACCCAGTCACCTTGCCATAACAATTTTGTCCTTGTCAAAGTCTCTCAGATCTTTATTCCTGCCCATTTATCCTGCAACTAACCTCATTTCTCTGAATATAAGATATGACTGTTTGCTTACCATCTACCCCAATCTTAAAGGGTTAGTTCACCCAAAAATGAAAATTAAGTCATTAATTACTCACCCCCATGCTGTACCAACCCCGTAAGACCTTCGTTCGTCTTCGGAACACAAATGAAGATATTTTTGATTAAATTTGAGAGCTGTATAACTACCACATTGGCTCCTAAGGGACTGCCTCTTGACGGCCCAGAAAGTCAATGAAGAAAATGTTTAAATATCCCAAGTGACTACCGTGGCTCAACTATATGTTAATCAAGCGACGCGAATACTTTTTGTGCGAAAAAACAAACAAAAATAACGAGTTTATTCGACTATT